TATTTTAAATATCACTAAGAAAAAGTTCATTTTGAAGTTTCTCCCTCAATTTCCCTAAGACAACCAAGTGCCCAATGGATGATCAAAAATATTATATTGTATCAATTGTCTGTGATATATATAGTATAATCAATCCATGTTAATTATATTCTGATTGATCACTCAAAAAAACCCCATTTACACTTTGGCATTAATTACCAATTGTTTACTTACTTGGTTATACACCTTATAAAAGTAGGATTTACCCATTTTCGTTTTACTGTTTTCCTATTTTTTAACTTAACATTTTTTATTCTCACTTATTCTTTGCTTCCACATTTATAATGACATATATCCTGAAAATTTTACTTATTATGCTTTTTTTTGGCAGAACCAGGGATTGAACTCAGGTCCTTGAGCTTGCCAGGGAAGCGCTTATTCCACTGAGCCATCTCCCCTGCTCCTGAAAAGTTTACATTATCATTAACATGAAGAAAATAATTTTAGGGGCCAGGGAGATAGCTCAGTAGAATAAGCACTTGCCTGGAAGTGCAAGGGCCTGAGTTCAATCCCTGGCTCTGAAAAAAGAAAAATTAAAATGTAATAAGTAAGCTACCTAACCAACCACTCATGAGACAAAATCTTTTTGACAACACATCATCAATCTAGTTTCAGTTTAAAAACCGAAAATGATCATGCAGATGAACAGGTGAAGAATTTGAGTGACTAATATGTGGGACAAGTCTTTGGATAAGGTCTCAAAAAGAAAACAATTCTCAACTGAGGAAGTGAAAAGAATTTGTTAAAAAAATTTGATTGAGATAATTCATTGAGTTACTTCACGTAAGTGTCACAGAAGAAAAGCCTAAAACTTTCCTTGGTAAAGTGCATGAATCTAAGTCAATGTGCACACCAGCATTGTACCCAGTCGTCCTCTCCTTTGGGGCATCTCTCACTGTGAGCAGACCAAGGATGGGACAGCAGCTACGTCCCCTCCTCTGGCTGGAATGCTTGGTTAGGAAACATGCATTGTTACTTCCATGCTAAGACTCCCAAGGTGCAATATGAGCACTTGACAGAGATCTCAGCTGGCTCTTCTAAGAGAAGCAGATGACTCATTTCATTAATATCATCTTCAGTGTGAAAATCTCTGCACAATTTACAATCTAAATTCATCTATAGTAGCATGCCATTTGTAGTGTCTTTATTGCTCAAATAAAAGATGCGGCGATGGCTTACCTGACCTCTTTCTCAAGCTGTGCTACACACTTCATCAGGGCATCGATCTTAGAATCTCTCTGACGCACTGATTCTACCAGGAATCTGTAAGGTTGTTGAGTCTGGCTTAACAGCAAATTGGCTCTGTCACGCTAAAGAAACACACAGTTCATCAAACTTTAGGAAATCTGACAACAAACTGAAATGATTAACAATACTCCAGCACAAACTAGGTAACAGTGAGCATCATTTGTGAGCTTTTCTTCTTTTTCTTTTCTAAATGTATTTGGTACAGGGTCTACAGGGTCTCACTACATAGATCGGACTTTTAGTGATTCTCCTGTTTTCAGCCTCCCAAGAGATGGGATTACAGGTGAGTGCCACCACACTCAGTCTCAGTCACCATCTCAGTGTGCCCCGGGGGCAGGGCTGACATGGCATATGGAGCCAGGGATCAAACCCTGGCCGCTGTGCTCTTCCTAAGCAGGCGCTCTAATCTACTGAGCTATTGGGCCAGCCCTGTGAGCTTTATTTCTACTGACCATACACAATCGTAGTACAATGTACCAATCTGTCTTGTGGGGTGTTCTAGAGATTGAGAGCACAAGGCCTCTGCACTGAGGCCTGCACACCCCCAGCCTCTCTCATGTGTGCGCTCATGTGTGTTTTACTCGAGACAGGGTCTTGCTAAGTCCTCCAGGCAGGGCTTAAGTCTGAGAGCTCCTGCTTCAGTCCGCAGAGTGCCAGCATTTCAGATCTGCACCAACTCTGGCTGAGTTAGTCATTTTCCATTTCCTTTTATTAGCTCTTTTTTAAAAAATACATGATTATGTACCTGAACTGCAATGTATAGGACTTTTTTTTTTGTTGTTTTGGCGGAACCAGGGATTTAACTCAGGCCCTTGGGCTTGCTAAGGAAGCGCTTATTCCACTGAAGAGAGAGAGAGAGAGAGAGAGAGAGAGAGAGAGAGAGAGAGAGAATTTAAAAGCAGATAGCTATGGATTCAAATTCTGACTGCAAATTTTGTTGTTTCAGAATAAGCAACCAGTAGGGCATGGTGGTACACACTTTAATCCCAGCACTTGGGTGGCTGTGGTAGGAGGGTTGCTGTGAATCTGAGGCCAGCCTTGGCTATGCTTTGAGTATAAGACCACCTTTAACTACTTAGTAAGACCCTGCCTCACAAGCAAATAAGCAAAACAACCCAAAACGAAATAAAAAAACACCTCCTACCAAAAATAGTCAAAACAACAAAAAAAGAATAAGCTGTTTAATTTTTTTTAGGGTTGGATTCGTTAATCTTTATAACCTTCTCCTTTAGCTAGCTATTATTTTTTCTATATATTAAACATTTTCAGTCACTTTGATTCTTAGTATATAATTAATATTTAAAAGTAATTATAAAAGGTACATTTCCACGCCTCTATACAGCTTAAGATTATAAGGTAAGTACAATATTAAAAAATTTTAGCCAGGGGTGGTACACACCTGTACTGCCAGCACTTGGGAAGCTTAGATCAGAGGACTGCCATGAGTTTGAGGTTAGCCTGGGCTATACAGTGAGTTCAAGGCCAGCCTTGATTACACAGCAAGGCCCTATCTAGTATATATATAT